TTCGCCTCTATTTTCTCCCAGTTTTCTGATCTGAACGTAATTAAATTCTAGTCAACAAGATTTGGCGACCCAATTCAACCCAATGAACTAACTTAATAACCTCAAGTGTGCGTTTAATCCTCCAATCCCCAACTATGCATCAGATATGCAATCTACTGTAGGTTAGATACCGGCAAGCAGTAGCTTAACGTGGCTTGAGTCAAAAAACCGTACCAACTGGCACCTTTTCAAAAATAACTTTCATATGTACTGAAACATTATTTTCTCGGAAGAAATTTGAACAAGGTGTCCTACAATTTCTGGTGGTTTAAGAAAGTAGAAGTTGGAGTAATAACATATGCCACTTCTGTGTTCTTTAGTTCTACCGATACCCGAGATTATATCGGCAATCGCCACGTCTGGTACCAGCATAACTGTGCGCTGGAAGGAAGTCAATATCGCTCAAACGCTCTACCTTGCAAAGGCCAGTGCAGACGAGCAAGTGCAGAGCAGTTGTTCCTGCACGGACCCCTGTTCCAGCTGCAATTTGGAGGCCCTCAGAATAGGGATTGGGTACAGCATTAGCTTAGACATCTGCAACGAGGTGAGGTGCATTTCCTCCGAAGAGGATTTGTACGCGACTACAATTCCTGGTGGTAAGGCGTCCCTGTTTACTTACACCTTTTCATACCTGCCTACTTATTTCGTTTTAGTAAATATGTGTTTTTTGTACTTTGGCATCAGTTGTTTCTCACCACAAAGGTACGACACAGTCTATCCACACATTAAAATACCATCACCCGACAGTTCAACCATCGCTCTCGACGATGTCCAAGGCGAGCTTCAGCAGGCTGAAGCAACTCAGTGATTGCAGCTGAATTACAGTGGAAGTAGACTCGCTGGATCTACCCCACTCTGTCACCATTCCCACACCAGGGCCCTGTGTAAAGACAAAAGTCAAGATAACTAGGGATGAGGGAGGGCGCAGGCGGATGCAGCGGCCAACGCTCAACAAGCGTTCCAACATTACACCTCACTGGGTAGGCTCCCAGTTTGGAGCGCCATAGAGGTCACATTAAGAAGGAGCCACTGAACCTGACTCTCAGCCCGCAGTGGGCCACTCCACAAAAGGAGACACACAGTGGACTGACTGCGGTGTCCAAAGTATTCCATCTGTTGGTAGCTATCCAAGCCACAGTTTTTAGCACAACGCGATAGTTTACAGCGCATCAGATTGAGTATAGTGAGGAAAGAAATGCACTGAGGGTTGATCTAAATTTCTTCCCCACCGCCAGCAACAGGCCACCACCTAGCTGATTAATCACCTGAGCTGGGATGGGTGCAATGCTTAAAAGGAAAACAGGTCGGAGCTGAGCATTGTAGAGCAGGTTGTGCAAGGGAAGAGGAAAATATGAAGAGGGAGAGTGAGAGAGAGAGAGAGAGAGAAAGAAGAGAGGAAAGCGAGAGGGAAAGGAGAACGAGAACAAAAACAAGATCGGGAAAACGAACACAGCTTACCTTTCGGCAAAAGAACATTTCAACCACCCACGGAAATCTTTAATGGCATACCCGATCAGTTAGCTGAAAGGCAAAAGTGCAATTTTTAGTCTACTTCATTCTTGACCCTGTTTTGGAACATGTCACTTGGAACGTTTTCGCAGAACCCTGTGTCTACTCTAGAATAAGGGAGTGTGTGTTCACTATCACTTTTCATGCCAGTTCGGGTAAAAATGTACCTGGAACAGGGTCATTTTATGGCATTGCATGGTGATAAACCTGCTTTAGGTTGTCAGAACACGCATGCCCCATCGGTACTTGTCTTATGGCCATTGATAAGCGGTTACAGTCGGAATCAGTAATGCGACCTTGTAGCGCTGTTGCGGTCTAAGTAGTGGGTGTACTCAAATCACTGCAATCATCAGGCCGAATCCCAGGTTGGAAGTTAAAAAGCAGAAGGCACCTGGGAGAGAGATATATTGTGTACTGTAGTCCCTGTTGCTGTCTCAGGCGGCAGTGTCCACTGGTGAAGCCACGGCTAATGTTGGCTGCGTCCAGCCAGATTTGAGAGAGAATGAGACAGTGGTGGCAGCTGCTTAAGTAGGATTGTAAAGCAGGTTCACGTGTTCTTTTATTGGTGTGTTGCAATTGTCCGAGGGGATGTCGCCTGCAAAGGCTCTCTGCTGCGTTGGCCAAAGAGGTGGTGTGTTAAGTGGCCCTTAGGAGGGCGTTCTTATTTGGACGCGCTTGCATGCGCGAGTGTGTGCGCACATCTGTGTGTGACCGAATACATTGAGGTCAAGTTTGGGGGCCGCCGGAAAGCCGAAGGACAGAAGACGCTGTTGCAGCTGTTATCAGTTAGCCAGAAACAGTTGCGAGGTCA